GACAGCAAGCTATTTTAGCGGTAATATTTGAACATGTCAACTCATTTACACTGACATAACAAAATCACTAACTGGAATTAGACAAAAACTAGAAACACACGCACTGCATGCAACTATCCATGCAGCATTCAGACAAATTTGGGTTTTAGAAAATGTTAATTGTAAGTGAGCCCCGTTACATTATTCCTTTATAAGTCAATTTCAGGCAGATAATTTCTGCTTTCAGATCCACTAAAATGGCAGGTGACAGTCAAATCAAGCGGATCTGTGCTGTTTGAAGAAAAGGTGGACACTCATCTTTCTGAAAAAAAAAAACTTTGTTTAAAAAAAATTGGTTAAAAACTGAGTACCATATAAAAGCTTAATTGTTTTTTCCTTTTTATTTGTTTAACTACTACAATATTATGTTTATTTTTTATCAGCAGCTTTTTGGTTTTGAGTATAAAGATTTGCTTTATTTGCTGCTTAGCAGAAGCCCTAAGAGTATAGCTCCATCACTGTTCAAAGTAAAAAAACAAAAAACAAAAAAAAAACAAGATCATACTTTTATAATATCACATGGTTTCCACTACATTCCTTGTTCCATGGCTGAGCGCCACACTAAAATTCATCCCGCCAGGGCTACATTACAGCTTCTCATTCAAAACATACAGTCGTTGTTGTTGTTTTTTAAATAGCGGGTTATAATCACACCAAAGCGTATTAAAAGGTAAGTGAATTATAACAGCACAAACTTTAATCGTAGTATTGCTGTGCGTTATTTGTTTAACCCTTTAAGATGACATTCTGAATGACAGATGCGTGATGCGTGAGGCCAGCAAACACAACGTAGCTTTCAGTTAAGATGAAAATAGTTTCTATAGTTATACTTTATAGATAAGGGTCTATGGTTCTATGGTTCTGTGTACAATGACTTTAACTTTTGCTGGAGTTAATAGCCATTTCACTTTACTTCAGAATGCATTAATGGCACTAGGTCTATTGGTCTATTGGAGAAATACATAAATATTCTTAGCAAGTCTTATAAATGTTGGAGACATACTTCTTACATAAACGCACTAAATCGCACTTCAGCAGCGTTTATTTGCGAGCGCACAAGAACTACTGCGTATGAGCACCATATATTTGAGAGGGTGAGCAAGAAGTTTTGTGCATGAGCAGAGGCAAAGATTTGGATGCTCATATTACATAAATGCGCTCATGACATTTCTCAATTTGTCATTGAAATAACGCCATAGGTAGTGGTAGATCATAGATGTGTATAAAAGGCCTGCTGCCACAGCTGGAAAAAAATCCTGGAGGAAACACTTTTTTTTTTTTTTTTTTGCTGTTGAAAACATACCGAACCGGGACATCACTGTGTCATATCGAATCGAAACGTGATTTTTGGAACCGTAACTCTGTGTATATATATATATATATATATATATATATATATATATATATATATATATATATATATATATATATCTATATACACACACACACACACACACATTTATGTGTTAGTAACTAGTAACTATTTACTTGAGCAATTTTTTCATTAGATACTTTTTCACTCTTACCCAAGTAACTTTTAATATTGTTACTTTTACTTTTACTTGAATAAAAAAATTCAACAGGTATTTGTACTTTTACTTGAGTATAGATTTTGCCCACTCTACCCACCTCCACAGCTGCTCTAACAACTTGAAGGAATTACAATGTTAATGAATTTACATTTTATTTAGTATTTTTGCCAACTTTGAAAGGATTCACTTCACATTAGGCGTTCTAATATCCTTTTTACAATAACAATGCATTAGCAAACAAAACCATCACTGATGTAAAGTTGGTCAACTAAAACAATACAATATAAAATCAGAGATGGTCGGTTCCCAATAAACGAAGGAACAAACGAGGGGAAAATCATTCATGGAAAGAGTTCAGTGGAGCCATTAAAACAGTCTGTTCCTTCCAGCGCACAAATGTAAGGGACTGCAGACTGACACCAGCTGTTATGTGACACACAGCTTAAGAAAACTCACTATTCATTCACTTCTAGAATCTCTGAAAAGGTCAGAACAAACGCAACACAAGAACGCTTTCACTACACTCCAGGTAATGCTCAAATCCTGCTCTTTAAAACAAATAACCTTTGGTTACACTTTTCAAAGCAATAGCTATAGACCGCAGCTCTGCACAGGAAGTTTGGCCGGAGGAGAAATGGTTGTGCCCAACTGAGCCTAGTTTCTCTTGAGTCTTTTCCTTCACTTTCGTCAATTGGTTAAGTTTTTCCTCGCCAATGTCGCCACTGGCTTGCTTGGTTTAAGACTTGTGTTTCTGCGCCTAGATTGATTTGCTCTTCAGTGTTTGGACTTTCCGTAGTGAAAATTAAACCACACTGAACTGAACTAAACCTTAACTCTGAAAACTGGCACTGTTTCAATTTACTAGAACTTCTATGTTAAGCTGCTTTAACACAATCCACAATGAAATTAATGTAATTAATTGTAAAAAGCGCTGTAGAAATTAAGATGAACTGAACTGAATCTGCTGATTTAGTTCCCGAAAATGACTCTTTCATGAATCACTGAATCTCTAGTCCAATTTCTTGGTTAACAGGGACATAATTACAAAATTTAAGTCAGAAAGCTTACAAAAAAGTGTCAGGGGGATTCAATGACAATCACTTTCATTTTTTTTTTATAGACTATTCATTTTAAAGACAAAGGCTTTTGATTCAAACATCAGTGAGAGATCTGAAGCCCTCTATTGTGTTTTCTTCTAAAACTCTGTGAACATATTTTTGGTTTTGGAAGCCATGAGCTGAAGAAAAGACCAGTCTCTGCACTTGCAAACCCATTCAGATGGTAATCCGAGCTTCCTTTCATCATGCAAAAGGGGACATGAAATAGGAAACAGCTTTTTTCTTATTCTTTTGAAACAAGAGTGTAATGACCAAGCAGACATATGCTAATATTTATGCAAAACTCATGTCTACACAGACAACTTTGAGAAGCTGCAAAAATGGTCTGTTCAGAGAGCTTTGTGCTTATATAATATAACCATGAGCTCATGAAAATGACAATTTGCATGTCAATAACTATTCAGCTGGTCTAATTACTAAATTGCTGAAGGTATGCAGACATTAGACAATTATAACCGGTTCTATAGGGATATATTAGGAATTTGAATGCACTTAAAAATAAATGATTAGTAAAAGAAAGATGTTTTTGAATTAAATTAATGTGTTTTCTGTTTATTCATGCTTTTCAGTTGCATTACTTATTATTACTTATTATTGCATTATTAAGAACTTGTTCTTTGCTCGGACAACTTTATTGTTCAAAAGTTTAACTTACTAGTTATAAATTACATTAAAAAATATTGTATAATGTTATATAAATATAACATAATTATATATTGTAATATATATAATGTTTTCATAATATTTTTATAAATTATAGTTTTAGTTTTGAAAATGTACCTCTGCACTTAAAAAATTACTATTTTTAATAGTTTGAAACAATAAAACGTATGGATCTCTCTCTCTCTCTCTCTCTCTCTCTCTCTCTCTCTCTCTCTCTCTCTCTCTCTCAATGTAAACACAATGTAAAGATAAACCTGTGAGGGTGCTTTCACACCTTGTTTTGTTCTGAAACAGGGATTAAAATTATTACAACGTTGCTTTTGTTCTTGGTGCGATTCACTTTCACAAGGCAAAGTTTCTAAATGGACCAAAATAGTTTAAAAGGTCACATGCGTGTAAACTCTCCTTACATTGGTCAGTTTATTTTTAATTAGTCCCATGGATTCCGCTCAGCTGTCATACTTGCTATTTTCATTTATGATGATGAGAAATTATATGCGAAAAGGTTCACTTTAACTTCCATCACCAAATATAAATCAGAGGTAAGACTTTCTCATACATGGCCTCATTACAGATGTTTAGGGTTGTTCAAATCTATCTATTGAATCAATTGATCAATCTATTGCTCGTCAAGACATTTAATAACTTTGTTTTCATTATTAATTTTGAGCTTAAAAAATGGCTAGATTTATGTATTATAGGCTTACTTTATAGAGAGAAGTTACAGGTGAATCGAGACTCCAGTCAGATGAGATTTCTTTCAAAGTGTCAGTGTAGAAATAAACAAAACAATAGACCTATTAGAAAATATTATAAGATTAAAATAAGAAAAAATATCAGATGGTTATTTCAGATAAACAGCACTCGGTAATACTTTGATATGCTTTTTAACTTCTTACTCGATATGAAATGCAGATTTACTGGTAGGAATGACGTCCCTCCCTACTCATGATTCTCTTTTCATATTGCTGTATGTATGGCCATTACACAGCCATAATACACTGTGATATAACCAGGTTCGTTAGTTCGTTTTGCTTTCTCACTATAATAGATCTGCCCCAGAATTCGTTTTAATTGACCCTAGACCCTTTATTCAGGTGATCTTAGACTGATTGTTTTGAGGCGGATTTAAGTGTGATTGCGGGATTCACATATGCCAAACGAACCGCACTAACTAAGCATACGAGTCAGGTTCCAAAACAAACCTCTGCACCCTGAAATGTGAAAGCATCCTGAATACAGTAATACCATAATACAATTCAAAACTGTAAAATATTTGTTTATTAATGTATTAATTTTACAGTTTAAAATAATAGGTAAATTATATGACTTACTGATCTGAATAATTGTCCGTTTGACTGTTTGAAACAGTATGGACTGGTTTCACTAGAAGTCAGTGTTTAAAATAAACCACTATTCTTGTTATTTTGTTTGGCGACAAACAAATCACACACTTCGTTAAAGCCGTTTCCTATTTAAAACATCTGAAAACAAAGAAAGCAGGAGTCCTTTAGGGCACTTCAAGAGGTTTAGAGCTTGTTTGACAAGCTGCCATTCAACATGGATTCTCTGAGAACTAACATTTAACAAAGCAATGAGTGTTAGTAAGTCAGCACAGGAGGTATAGATAGTAAGGGCAGAGTTTAACCTGAGGCGCTGGAAGAAGGGTTGAGCACCAACGGGCTGGTGGACAGTGTGGTCAGGACGGTGGCGGCCATTACTTCTTTATCAGCATGACCAGAAGGACTCCTGTTAAATGAGAAAGAGAGAGAGAGAGATTAGGTTTCTAAACCATTAGCTATATTACCATCCATATACTGTTATGTACATTTTAGGTACATAAAAATTACATACATGGTACACATACATAGTAAATAAAATAGTAACTTTGCATTTACACCGCCGCCTGGCGAGAGTGTCGGAATTTGCTTTGGCCACCCTCACAATCAAACAAGTTTACTGTTTTTTAAATTAAATAAACCAATCTTATGCTGTTTGTGTAGTGAGATATTTGTGTTCATGTTTAAGCGCTAGTCTAATTTCTGCATGCTGTTTATAGAAGATGTTCAATAACTATAATAATAATAAGTCTTCACGCTAATGGTAATTTTTGCACATTTTACATTACAAACCGAGAAACCTGCACAACAATCATCAACCTCAGCCTTTGTTTTGTTTGGGAATTAATGTGGTCTGTAGCCCAAAGTTTATTAGTCCAAATTGTCTGGAATCCTCTCAAGTGGTCGACTAAAACCTTCTGATAGGTTTCCATCGAACCCTGTTATATTTCATTACCATAAAGTTGACCTGATTTCAACTTTTTTTTGACGCCCACTTTATCCAAAACAAGCCACGCATTGAAAATTAATGACTTCTAGCTACTTTGACACTCTTAACAGTGACGAACGATAACACCAAGATGCACATTTAATCTCAAATGGATCGTAATGTTCCTGAAAAAGGCATGCAAAATCATGAAGCCAAAAGGTCTTTACAGTACAGTTTGAGAAATCCCTCAATTTAAGTTTATTGTAGTTCGCAAGTTTTCTTTTGTGGACACACACCTTACAAAACATGCATTTAAATAATAGGAGCAGAGCCTAGATGAGTTGTGTCAATAGTGTGTTGTTTTCATGTCCGAGATATTTTGCTTGACCGGTCTAATATGCTGATACTCATGAAATTTATTCCCCCACTGTTTACATTCATTCACACATACTTTATGCACATTTTTGTGTGCTTTTTACAAAAACTTGTGTGTATTTGATAGTTCACATAAAGAGAGGTTAGTTTATTATTTATGCAATGTACTTTCTGACAGAATTTCTGTGTGCTAAGAAGGGGTTAAAACTAACAAGGCTTTTCAAACACGTGTTTTGTTTGTTGTTATGGTTATTTATTAATTATGTCAGTTTCCCAGAATGTGATGATTTTCTTCTCTTGAACACATGACATTGAATTTTATAAATGAATATTTTGCATAATCTGAAATAAGAATGAATAGGCTTTCTACTGATATATCGTTTATTAGAATTGGACAAAATTTGGCCAAAATACAATCTGGATTCTGAATAAACATTAAAAAAAAATCTAAATATTGAGAAAATTGTCTTTAAAGTTAGACAAACTTAGTTCTTAGCAATGCATATTACTAATAAAAAAATAGGTTTTCATATATTTACAATAGATTTTATATATTTATTAAGTTTTGATATATATATATATATATATATATATATCAATATATCAATATATATATATATATATATATATATATATATATATATATATATATATATATATATATATATATATATATATATATATATATATATATATATCAATATATATATAAAACAGTGTAACATAAGACTGCTTCATGTGGTTCAGTGTCACAATTGTGTTTACAAACATCAAGAATCAGAAAGCAAGACCACATGACTCTGTTTGTCACTGCACATGTCATTTGATTTAAGGTCATTTATTATGTAGGGAAATAAAGCTACAGCGGTTTTCCCTGTCGTAGCAACTTTCATTAATTATAACTGATTGTTTGCCCCAGTTTTCTAGTTTTTGAACAGTGTAATGCATGTAATATTCCTACTTTCTCAACTTACAAATCATAAAGTTCATTCACAATGCTGCATGAAAACCAATCTTAAAGTCCACATGATATCAAAATTTACAGTGCTTATTTTGCTAGCTCACAGTGTTATTCTGTGAAGTTAATTTACGGGAAAAAACGGTTTGTTTTGATAGTCTTCAATTAAATATTGAACACTACCACGCTTGAAGTGGCAGTTCTTCTGTAAACTTTAACATTAAGGCTTTCATAGCAACTGCATATTAATACCTTCTCTAACCGTTAGTTTGCTATAAGGGAACGATTCGCCAATGAAAGCCCAGCCCACAACTCAATATTCTGTTTCAGTTGGAAGTGCATCAACATAATGAAATAAAAGTCTTCCGGCAACTTCCAGAGCACGCTTACTTTAAGTTCTAGATCAACTAAAACCGAAAACATCAAGCAAATCCAGATGTTTAGTGCTCTCTCACACCAACATAAACAACACACATCTGTTAGGTGGGCCTTGCTTTGCTCTCTCTTTAAGCCTAAGCAGCCGTTCTTTCTTTTGAGCAAGGCCGAATCCCACAGTAAACACTTCTCTAGGCCGTATTGCAGCTCCCTACTGCGCTGAACTCATCACGAGTAATGGAAAATTCCAGCACAGTAATAAACACTAGCACTCGGCCTCTGGTTTGTGCCCACACAGAACAGCTCGATTATCAGCCGTATTTATTCAGCGTGTGTGTGGGAGAGAGTTTACTCATGTTTGTAAATCAACACCAGGGTTTAGTGTGCGGCTGAATGAAATGCCCTGTTAACTGTTTAGTGTCTTGCTCACAGGTGAGACTCAGCTGTGTGTTGTTTATACAGTTATGTGCATGGTTGATGGCTGTAATATTGGGGTAAAATAGAGGAGAGAAAAAAAAAGGAAGAAATGAGGGAGATCAGAGAGAGGGGAGAGGGAATGAGTGTTAACAGACGTCATGTTGAAATATTTATGCATATAATTAAGTGGATTACCTTACATAATGATTCAACAAACAACTAGCAGAATATGAAATACATGTTGATGTAGTCAATGATGTAGGGTTGGGTCGATGGACGATGCCATCACCAACAGACATCATGATGCTAAGTCGGCATCACGATCCTCCGCCCCGGGCCCGTTACAGCAACAACCCACTCGTGAAAAGCACACACTTAGGCCCCGTTTACATTAATACGTCTTTACGTAGGCCTCTCCACACTGGGTTTTACCTAGCATTTCTAAACAGCTCTCCATTCACACAATACCGCTGAAAATGTGTCCACACGATCACATGACAATGCACACACACACTCTGGTACACGCTCCAGTGGTATGCGTGCAAGTCTAAGCTCCAGGCAGTCAGCGGGGGCTTCGAGCACAAAGCCCCAAAGAGCAGTACACATCGGACAGTTTATCAAGGATGTACTGCTGGATCGGGTCAAACGATAGTTGTTAAACTTGATATTTAATTCATCTTGTCTTTATCTAACGACTCTTCTGTCTTTTGAAAATATCAGGTAATGTGTCACTTTAATCTTTCGCTTTCACGCTTGTACCTAGTAATTTTAGAGAAACCCTCAGATACTGTTGGTTGGTTGCTGTTTGTGGACGCCATTATAACGACACAGACCACTCTGCATATTCATACCAGTTCTGCGGAAAAAGTGATGGACAGGTGGTAATTTGTGTGTAAAATTTATTTATTTATTTATGATTTGTTTGAGACAAAAACAAATACTATGTGGGTCAGGTAGTTGAAATGGTAGGCTACAAATAATTAATTCATTATGAATTCCTTAATTATTCATAAATAATTAATTCACCACCTCCTGTGATGAAGATGCCTTCATACATCACAATGTTTCATATTATACATCATACGACGCCAAATAGGTCGACATCGCCCAACCCTATTCTAATATATTTTAAATTTGTCTTTTGCCAATTGGAAATATTGTCCTTTTTGTACAGAGGGATTGTTCTATGAAATTTATGTATTTTATATACAGTTGAAGCCAGATTTATGAGCCCTCCTGAATTATTAGTCCTCCTGTTTATTTCCCCCACAAATTCAGTTTATTTCTGTTTATTTTTTTTAGCACATTTCTAAACATAATGGTTTGAATAACTAATTTCTAATAATGGATTTATTTTATTTTTGCCATGACAGTAAATAATATTTTACTAGATTTTTTTCATGACACTTTTATACAGTTTAAGTGACATTTAAAGCAAACATGCTAATTTTACACAGAAATGCCCAGCCAAGACTCAAACCAGCAACCTTCTTGCCGTGAGACGACAGTGCTAACCACCGAGCCACCGTATCACCGCTGTTTTCAAATAACGTTTATTTTAGATTTCAGACATTTAAATGGAAGGAAGTTGTGCAAAACATAATTTAGTCTTTTCTTCTCCCAATAAAACAGCCGAGTAGTTTTAGAGTAGATGATACATTTACATGTTGTAAATCCAGCAGCTCTAATCTCTCCTCTGCAGTGCAGACAACCATGGCAGCGCCAATCACGTATCATAGATTAAATAATATGATAATTATTCATTAATACATGCTTTTACGCATATTTAATAATTGGAATGTCAGATATTTCACAATATATTTAGGAAATTTGTAACAGAGGTGTGAACCTACAGTGGTTCGGTTACAATTATTACATCATCGGTTTTGTTCAATTCGATATCTCAGTTCATCAGGGTGCATTGACCATGCATTCCATACACAATTTTATATTTAATTCACAGCACAATCTTATATTAAAATCTATAAATATATTTATATGAATAGATTAGTTGTAATACAATTTTGCCCTTTAATACAAAAAGTCAGATAAAAACTACCCTTAAAAACTCAAGGGGCTCTTTTTTGACAATCCATGCGCAAAATCCAAATCGCAGGGTGCAAAAACATTAAGGGCGTGTCAGAATACACTTTTGCTATTTTTTGGACGGAAAAATCTGCTTTGTGCTGTGGCGCATTGTCTAACAGAGTTGAGCTTATTCTCTTAATGAGTTATAGGTGTGTTTTGAGAATAAACCAATATATCAGCTCATCTCCCATTCCCTTTATGAGTCAGTTGCGCCGCTCTATAGCGCATTTGCTATTCACATGGCGGACTTTGTAAGTGGAAAAACTGA